ATATTTTAAATAATTGTTATTAATTAATAAATTAATATTTTGAACTTTAGTCAGGAGTGAACGTATAAAGAACATGTGATAGCAGAAAATAAGCTTTGGCCAAATGTGTTTCGTATTCCGAAACACATTGCCTTTTCCAAATAAGTTAATTACATATTTTTAGGACAATCAAGTTTTACTGCATGTATTCATATATGCAGGATTAATCATTTCTTTGACATTGAGGATAAATAATGCGTAGGCTCCGGCCCGGTTCAACTCTATTTAGAAATTTATATACTGCATTGGTCGCATCCAAGTTAGGGAACACACTAGAAGTGGTAAGATACAACAGATTGACGACTAGCAGGAGTTACCCTGCATTCACCGAGGCTGTAGTTAGTAGATTGTATGAATCAGAGTACTTGTATTCTGACCCTACCTCACGATAAAGTTCCAATATGCTCGAAAAAGTGCCGATGACGAGCCTTAAAATGCAGCCTGTGCTACATGTTTCATTCGGTTTTATCGCAAATACTGAAAAAGTATCACAAAAGGTTACGTTTGGTGGCAAAGATGCCAAAGTTTACAGAATAAAAAATGAGCCTCATGTTTGAAACATTATTAAATATTCAACGTAGTTCGTATTGTATAAGATGGAAATATGACTGCTGATAAATGATTTTGAGAAATCGTAAAATAACAAACGCTTAAATCTAAAAACCGCTTATGTTCTGCTCTGAGCTATCTTAAGAATGCTGTCTTGCCAATGTTGATAGTTAACATTTCAGGTCTATTCCAACACCGATAAATTACTCCAAATTTGGAAATAAGGGCAGAACATCTGCAGAAGGGGCAAATATTTTTATTGGGTAGGTCCGAAGATACCAGACGATATTGAATAAAAGTTGTATTCACTCTGGGCCGGATAAGGTGATAAAGGAATCCTAATTGCATTTTACCACAATCACTTGCCCATTAAATTTCATAATTGTTGAGCTTACTTCCATTTCGAGTGAAAGTGTTGCGTGAAGATATTCGAAGATCGCTTCCACCAGAAGACAAAGACGGATTTTTTCTTGACCAGCTGTCGATTGGCTTTACAGGAACATTCTTGTTGATGCTGTTTTCGAGGCAATCTCCTTCAACTTGAGCTCATCAACAAACTCAGACGAGTGTCCGATCTTGAAAAATCAGAGTGATGGTTATAACATGTTTGTAGAAAGGGGGAGATAGGGGTCATCAAATCTTGATGGCCGAAAACAGACGTTAACTTTTGCTGTCCTAATTGCTTTGAGCCATCACTGCAGGTTTCGTGCATAAGCGAACACAAACAGACACATACACATACAGA